ACACGGTACTTGATTTGAACCTCAACTACCACAAATAAGAATTTTACAAAAGGGAAAAATGGTTTTCAATACAGAAGAAAAATAATTTAAAAATAATTGTAATTTAACTTTATCATAATTATAAAAAAATCAAATACAAGCAATGAGATTGATCAGTAATAGTCTCAAAACAACAACAAGAACAAAACCTTCAAAACCAAATAGAATCATCATAGTAGAATTCTACTCAATCCTTTAAAACATCAAAACTTCTCAAACTCTTCCATTAAATAGAAAGGGAAGGAATGATAACAAATTCATTCTATAAATTAAAATGTAACAACAAAAAAAGAGAATTACAGACCAAGATCTTTGTTGAATACCAACATAAAAATTCTCAGTTAAATTCTTGCCAACTTCATTCAATAGTATCTTAAAAAGAACATAAACCATAATCAGGTTTGTTTCATCCAAGGGAAGCAAGGATGGTTCAACATATGCCAATTAATAAATGTAACACATTACATAAACAGAACAAAAATTAAAAAAAAAACACTACATAACCATCATGCTAGTAGCATGGCTCATCTGGTAGATAAAAATTAAAATTAAAAAAAAAAAGACATCAAAAAAAAAAAAAAAAAAAAGGCCAAGTAAGGAGCAAGAGGTATAGTGTTCAAGAACTGCTACTGTATTAAGGGTAAAAAAAAAAAAAAAATTAAATGATCTTATCTGACACAGTAAAAGCCTTTGACAAATTCAATGCCCTTTTTTATAATAAAATTTTTAAAGAAACTAAAAACAGAAGGAACTTAATAAACGTTATATAAAAGAAACCTAGAGGAAAAATTAAAAAAAAAAAAAAAACTAGGGGAAAGAGTCAAGGATGTCTACTCTCCCTACTCTTTTTCAATGTAGTATTAGAATTCCTAGCCAGAGAAATAAGCCAGAAGAAAGAAATAAAGATTGAAATAGGCAGAGAATAGACTCTACAGATAATACCAAAAACTTCTAAATTTGATGCCTTCAGCAACACAGCAATATGTAAAATCAATACCTAAAAAAAATAGCTAGTCTATAAACCAACAATGAATAGGCTTAAAGAGAAATCGAGAAAATAGTTATATTCAGCAACAATAAAACACCTAAGTAATTAACTTAGCCAAGGAAGTCAAAGACTTCTACAATGAAAAGTATAAAACCTTAAAGAAAGAAATTGAAGACACCAAAAGATTGAGAGACACTCAATGTCCATGGAGTGACAGAAGAGTACTGCCAAAAACAACTTACAGATTCAATGTAATATACATTGAAGTCCCAATGTCATTCTTAACAGAAACAGAAAAATCAAACCAGACATTAATATGGACACATTAAAAAACCCTGAATAGCAAAAGGAATTCTGAGTAAAAAAAGCAACATTGGAGACCTCACAAACCAGACTTCAAATTATACTATAGAACCATAATAACAAAACCAGTCTGGTACTGGCAGAAAAACAGACCTAAAGACCAAAGGAACACTAGAGAAGACCAGGAAACCAAACCACACATCTATAGAACCATCTAACTTTCAACATATGGTGCTCGAAAAACTGATTATCCAATTGCAGGAAACTGAACTTGACCCTTACACCTCCCTGTACAAAAATCAAATTCAAAAGGATAAATATCTTTAAATTAAGATCTGAATTTGTAAATCTAATACAGGAAAACATTGCGGAAATCTTGGAAGTTACAGGCACAAGTGTTTATTTGCAGTATAGAACTTCAAGTGCCTAGAAAATAAGAGTAACAATTGATAATTGAGACTGCATCAAATTAAAAAGCATCTGTACAAAAAAGAAAACAATTACCAGAACCAAAAGACAACCTACTGAATGGGAGAAAATCTTTACCAGTTATTTAACAGATAATGGATTAATATCCACAATAAACAAAAAACTCAAATTAAACAGCAAAAGAACAAATAAATTACCCAACTATTAAATGGGCAAACTAACAGTTTTCACAAGAAATACAAATGGCTGATACATGAAGAAATGTTCAAAATCCTTAGCTACAAAGGAGATGCAAATTAAAAACCACATTAAAACTCCATCTCATCCCGTCAGAATTGCATCCATCAAGAAAACGAACAACAAATTTGGCAAGAATGAGAAGAAAAGGAATATTTGCCTGTAGAAATGTAAAGTAGCACAACTATTACTGAAATCAGTACAAAGGTTCTTCAAAGAACTAAAACTAGACCTACCTTATGCCCTTGCCATACTACTATTGTGTATATCTGAAGAAATGCAAATCATACATGAATGATACTTGCAGAGCCATGTTTATTGCAGCACTGTTCACAATAACCAAAGGATGGAATTGGCTGAAGTGCTCAACAACAGTTGAATGGGTAAGGGACATGGTACAAATAAACCATAGAATATTATGTAAACATAAAGAAAAATGGAAGGAAATTGAGAACATCATGTTGAACAAGATAAGCCAAACTTTGTTTTCATTCACATGGAGAAACTAGACCTAAAGAATATATTTATCAATATGCATATATACCACACACACGCACATGCACACACACAAATTTACACACACACACACACAGAATTTGATTGCAACTATTGATGTAGGAAGATAACGGGAAAAAAAGACGGAGGATGAATGCTGCAAAGAAAGATGGAGGATGCAAGTTTCACTGCAAATGGCTTGAGAAACGTCAATGAAAGCTGTCAATAAAAATTTCAGGAGGGGCAGGGGGGAAAGAAAGCAAAATGGAGGATTATTCTGAACAAAATATAATATATGTAGCTCTAAAATAGTGAAAGCCTTTGGTGTAATTAATACGCTTTAAAAAGAAAGTTCAAGAACATGAAATAGATCAGATGGGAGGACATAAGCAGGAGGAAGAAGGGCTAATGAAGAGGGTAAATTGGTGTAAATATGGTCAAAGAAATATATTTGCATGTATGAAATACAGCAATGATGATGGAAGGATAGGGGAGAGTAAGGATAATGTACAGGGTCACACTGTTTATATGTGTGGAAATGTCACAATGAAAACCCCATTTAACAACTAACATATACTAATAAAACTAAAACTAAAAATTCATGATGTTTAAGAAAAACAAGCAAAAGGAAAACTTCATAACGCTATCAGAAGAAAATGTTTTTTTTTTTTAAATTTCAAAAAACAAAACCAAAAAAACCCACTGGTTGTGGTGGCTCATGCCTGCAATCCTAGCTACTCAGGAGGCTGAGATCTGGGGAACAAGGTTCAAAGCCAGCCCAGGAAGGAAAGTCTATGAGATTCTTATCCTCCAATTAACTACCAGAAAATTGGAAGTGGCATTGTAGCTCAAAATGGTAGAGTGCTAGCTACCATTGAGCAAAAGAGCTCATGGACAGTCCCCAAGTCCCAAGATTAAACTCCACAACTGACAAAAAAAAAAAAAAAAAAAAGTCCAAAAACACTTGGAGTAGAAGACAATTTCATAATTAAAAAAATAAAATAGAAGGTTTATATCTAAAGTGTGAAACTTTTATATGACAAAAGATAATACAAATATAGGGTAAAACTGTAACATATGAATTATATAAATAAGAAAAAGAAAGGAATGAAGGCTTGGTACAGTGGTAGCATTAAACTAGCAAGTGAGAGGAGCTGAATTCAAATATCAATACCATTTAAAAAAAAACAAAAAAATAAAAGAGAATGCAATCCAAATGAATAAGAAACAGAATAATGAGCAGAAAAAAATGAAACTAATACACACATTACAAGCTGCTTCATCTCACTGATAATCACTAAAAGCACAAATTTTAAAAAATAGGAATCATATTAATTAGACAAAAACTCCTGAGGTCTGACAAGCCTGATGAGCACACAGTTAAGTGGAAACTACTAATCACACTAGCAAGGTAGAGATTATAAACTAGTCACTTTAGAGACTGTCTAGCTATTATCTATAACCAAACTGATAAGATTTCCTATGATTCAATAAATAATTCCACTTCATATGCATGTTTCCTACTTTCTAGCAACAAAATACTTAGCAACAGCCTTAATAATGTGGGAAATGGATTAACAGTAGTCATGTGATTTAATATTACAAAGCTTCTTATTTTCCCCAACACTGGGGATTAAATTCAGGGCCTCATGTTTGCCCAGCTGTCTTGCTCACAACTGGTGCTCTACCACTTGAGCCATAATTCCAGCCTAGAATTATTTTTTTAGTTATTATAAAAGTACGTGCAGAGCCAGACGGGATTTTTGCTAGTTAACTGGAGACTTGAGTCTTGCAGATAATTCTCCCAAGCTGGTGTTGGACCTGGATCTTACAGGTCTCAGTCTCTGTGTAGCTAGAATTACAGATGTGAGCTACTGGCACCTGGCAGAATACTTCATCACTCTTAAAAGAAATGCATACATGCAACAAACATAAATGAACTTACATAAATCTCAAACCATAGTGATTAGAATTATTCTGTAATGAATCATTTATGCAACATTTCATAATCCACACAAAATATTCTTTTATATAGATTCATGATAATGTGTGCAGGTAGTAAAAATATACTGAAAAGTTGTGTTCAATACTGACTATGTAAAGTAAGCTGTTTTACCGAAAAAAAAACAACAGAAAATATAGTATCGACAGCTGCCAATCTGTGTAACAGTCAGATGCCTACATGCTATATGAGTCTTGGTATTTTGATGAATTTTCTGGATTTGTAAAGGCCAAAAAGAAACCCAAGTTCATCATTAACATCATAATGCAATTTCATTCTTATCTATTTAAGCAATTCTAGGTCATGTAAAAAGGAGTATATAATGTATCTTAAGACATTAGTTAAAAAAAAATTTATCTTCAACATCAACTACATAATCATTATAGTGAATTCTTTTGTTTCAATTTGCCTATTTCCAATGTAATAGCTAACCTACCACTACAACTTTCATGGGAGCACTAGAAAAAATAAATAAAAAGGTACAAGGTGTAAAATAAAGCAACTAACCTGTATGGGTTCTTCTATGTCTCTGAAGCTCATCACTCCTTGTGAATCTTTTGCCACAAAACATCCAGTTGCATATAAAAGGCCGTTCCCCAGTATGCCAGCGGAGATGTGCTCGGAGGTGAGATGTTTTGCCATAAACTTTCCCACACCCTTCAATATGGCAGATATGTTGTTTCTTCTTTCCTGGTTCATTACTGCCCCTAACAAAAATAACAACACATTCATTACACTTTCCAAACTGGGCTTCTACTTCTCAAAGAAATAAAAGGGACTTAACAGGATTAAGTGATGCTTTTCTGGATAAGGTTGATCATAAAGCAAGTACGAAGTCTGAAAACTTTAAATTAGAAGAAGAAAAAAAGAGAGCTGAGTACTCAACTCAAAACTGCCATTAAAATATACTGACCTCAGAGCTTATGTTTACTACAGAACATATTCGTTCCCTAGTAAGCTTTTCCCTTGGTTATTTTTTAGACTGGGTTTCTCTAGGTAGCCTTGGCTATCACTGGATTCACCATCCTCCTTCCTCTAAGGTCCTCCTACTCCTTCCTCTGAAGTTTTTTAAATATAGCCATGCCCGACCACATCCAGCGAAAATAATTTCTTGAAACTTGTCAAGCCCTTCAAAGTTTCCTCTAACATACCAAAAGCAGGCTAATTCCAATCAAAAGTGTAGAGTTTTACTTCTAGCATGATAGTGTAAGGAGTTCCACAGACTGAATTTCCCAGCAAAAGTGGTGAAAATTATAAAACAACAAACAAAAATACCATTTAAAGTATTTGGACATGAGCCCAGGAACAAATAACAGCAAACAAGAACTTTAACAGCTCTGGGTAAGTACAGTGAAAGTCTGTGGCTCTAAATCAAGACTTACTCCTTGCCTTGTCTCTCCAACGTCCATGACAGGGGGAAATTATAAAATGGTGTACCCAGGAACACGATTCCCCTTCCTCCTAATTCCCAGTCAGAGGGGTATCTCCCTAGGAGGGGCAGAACATAGCATTTCTATACTACCCCCAGGCACCTTGCTAAGGCTAAATTCCAGGTGAGTGTAACTCAAAGTATGACTCTCTCTTCCACCCAGCATCCAACCCAGGGGCATAAATTCTACTTTGGCTGTGGCATAATAAAAGTGCTATGGGTGGTCAGGTACTGGTGGCTTACATTTGTAATCATGAACTACTCAGGAGGGTGAGATCTGTGGGTCATAGCTCAAAGCCAGCTCAGAAAGGAAAGTCCATGAGACTCCATCTCCAATTAGCCACTAAAAACCTGAAGGGGAACTGTGGCTAGCCTTAGGAAAAAAAACCCAAGGACAGTGCCCAGGGCCTTGAGCGCAAGCCTCAGAACAAACACAGAAAAAAACAAAAATGTTATGGTTAAGGTGGGCCCTGGCCTGTTCAAGTCACACAATAAGAGTTTCTAAGATGGGAGAGCTCTATTTCTGCCCTCGCAATAGCCCTGCAGCAGCCTTACTACTCAGTTTCCAAGCACTCAGTTCCTAGAACAGAGTGCTACTCAGAAATGTGCTACTGTCTAGTCTCTAGGTCTGAGAAACATAACTCAGTACTTATGGCCAGAATGAGAAGCATACCATCAGAGCTCCAAGTCTTTCCCAAAAGGAACTAATACTTGCAACAAAACTGAAACAAAGTTGAAGAAGTTCAAGCCAAAGAGTGCTTTCAAAACAAGTAAATTGTCACAGAAAATATCTGGGGAAAGATTTATAGGTTCTTTGGACATCTGGCTAAATTTTAGATTGGACAGTTAGCCAGATAGAAGCATGGGAAGAAACAGGAGGAATAAGCTCTAAGTAGAAACAGAATAAATGCCAAACACAGATTCTTAGAGGTCAACAAAATAAACTTCAGTAAGGGGGGATAAAAAAAGGGAAGAGTTACTAAATTGAATCACAAAAAAGGGAAAGTTACCACGAGCCTTACAAAAATTAAAGGTTATAAACGTTTTACATTATGCCAATAATTTAGGTGAGATGGACAAATTCATAGAAAGACACAAAATTTACTAAAGAAAAGGACATCCAATCAAACCAAACTTAAGAGACTGAATTAATCATCACAATCACCTATAAGAAAAGTCTAAAATCAACTAAAAATAGCTCTACTGGTGAATTCCAAAAATATTTAAAACAAAACTTGTTCAAAATATAAAACTACAACCTCCTGAAAATTCCAAGGACTTAGCAAATAGGAGAAGCCACAAATGGGATTACACAGACTAAAAAGTTTCAACACAATTAAGGATATAGTAACTAAACTAAAAAGACAGTGTAAGGGAAAAATCATTGTCAGTTAAAGGTCTGACAGGGCTTAATAACCAGAAAATGCAACTCATTGAGAGGAAATCAAAAAATGAAACCCCCAAAGAATTAATAATCTAATTAATAAACAGGCAAGCCAGGCGCCAGTTGCTCATACCTGTCATCCTAGCTACTCAGGAGACTGAGTTGAGGTTGGTGGTTCAAAGCCAGCCCAGGCAGAAAAGTCCATGAGACTCTTATCTCCAATTAATCACCAGGAAACAGAAGTGGCACTGTGGCTCAAAGTGGCAGAGTGCTAGCCTTGAACAAAAGAGCTCAGGGACAATGCCTAGTCCTTGAGTTCAAGCCCCACAACTAACCCCCACCTACCAAAAAACAAAAGAACTAAATAGATCCCTCTCAGAAGAAGTTTGAATGGTTCAACATCTCTGGGTTATAAAGGAAATGCAAACCAAAACTATACAAATTCTATCTCACTCCAGTAAGAAAGGCCATTATCATGAGTACAAACAACAACAAATGCTGGCAAGGATGCAGTGGGGGAACTCTATTGCACTGTTAGTGAGAAATGTAGATTAGTGCAACCACTATAGAAGGATACAATGAAAACACTTGCATACCCATTTTCATTGCTGTGCCATTCACCATAGCCAAGTTATAGAAATGACCCAGATGTCCTACAATAGATCAAGAAAATATGACTGATTTTATATATACACATACATGTATATAGGAATATATACATATATGTGTGTGTGTGTATATATATATTATGGAATTTTATTCATCCATCAAGAAGAATGAACAGATAAGGACACATTTTCTCTCATGTGGAAGTTAGATATAAAATATAAACATACATGAAAGCATATACTGGGTCATATGCACATATACTAATCGAACTCACTAAAATATGGTATATTCAGGGGTAGATCCCAATGGTGTATTTTCTTTAAACAATTAACATACAGCTTTAAAAAAGGAATAGCAGGGAACTGAAACATGTTTTCCCTGAGGGGAGTAGAACTTAAAGGGCGGGGGCAGTGAGGAACAGATAAACACAGACAGGAATGGTGGGCAAATGAAATTATAATACTCAATGAATATATGTGAAAATGGAACCAGGTAACTTGAGAGGGTAGGTGGGATTGGGAGAGATAGAGAAGAATGATGGAACAATGACACTGATAAAAAACAAACAAACAAAAAAAAAACTAGGAAGTGGTGCTGTGGCTCAAGCCGTAGAGTGCTCGCCTTGAGCTGAAGAGCGCAGGGACAGTGCCCAAGCCGAGTTCAAGCCCCATGACCAACCAAAAAAAAAAAACAAAAACAAAAACTGACATGTTATGTGGTATATAGATAAAATGGAATTCTATGCCTCCATCAGAAAGAATGGCATTGCCCCATTTGTTAGGAAATGGAAAGACTTGGAAAAATTATATTAAGTAAAGTAAGCCACACCCCAAGAAATATAGGTCCCATGGTTTCTCTTATTTGCAATAACTAGTATATGTCTAGGACAAGCAGAAAAGATCAAAAGCTATGTATATAATATGAATATATAAGATGATGTTAAGTGAAATGAATCCAAGACAGGGGACCTAAGTGGTTTTTTCTTTCTTGCTATTGTTTCTAACATACTTATAATGTACTATGTGATTTTTTTTTGTTTCTTTTGTATGCTCTTTCCCCCATGGTATAACCCCTCTTTTCACTGTATTTGATTCCAGTGCCCTGCATCTTGTATATACACTTTTCTAATTTGGGGAGGGGAAGGGAAAAAACAAAATGCTTAAATAGGGTTACAGGTTGACCCATTGTAACAAGGAGATGTACAAGACACTATGTTGAAAATGAACTTTACAACTTGTGGGGGGAGGAGGAGAGGAGTTGGGGAGAAGGGTAGGGAAGGGATGGTAAGGGAAAAACAAAGGAGGAGGTAACAATGCTCAATAGGATACAGTTACTCATGTAACTGTAAGCCCTCTGTAGACTATTTTTTCAATAAAAAACATATTTTTTAAAAAATGACAGGTTAAATAGAAACCTCTTTGTACAATTAAAGATAACATAAATAAACAAATGAATACAATTTGAAAAAAGAAAGCTAAAAGGGAAATTTTTCAAGCAAGAACAATCCTTTTCAGAAGACCAACAAAGCCACTAACAAATGAGACACTTGTGTGGTTCTAGAGATAATATGAGGAAATAAGAGTTTACAATTCATGAAAGTCAAACAAATTTGTTCAAAATAAATATTACCAAGATGTGTTAACAAATAAAACACACCAAGAATAGTTCTGAATAAAGGCAAAGTCCAGGCCCATCTGCAGGTATTGTTCTGAGTTTAGGACACATAAAAAACTACAACAACTAAACAGTCTCAACAGAGATACAATGTAGTACAATAGTGATTTGTCCATGGTAGAATTATAGGATTTTTAAATTTTGTCTATGCTTTAATTTTTGCAATGAATAGATATTAATTTTTTCATAAGAAAACTGCAAATCTCAGAATGTTCATAATTCTAAGCCAGGTACAATGCCAAGTGACTATAGCTCTAGTCTAGCTACCTTTTGTAGGGAGAAGTGATGGGAATACTAAACCCAGGGTCTCAAATATGCTAGGTAAATGTTGTACCACTGAGGCAATGTCAGCCCAATACCAGCTAGACAGAAGACTGCCAAATTTGAGGCCAGCCTAGATACCACAGGCAATACAGCAAGACCTTGTCTCATTAAAAAAAAAAAAAGAAGACGTTACATGTACAAGGTGACAGAAAACAAAGATTAGTAACACTTATCTTTCTTAATAATATGAAGAAATGTTAAGATTTAAGTTTAAAAAGGAAGATACACATGCTGAGTGCCAGAGACTCCAGCCTGTAAGCTTAAACACTCAGGACACTTAAACTTCATAGTCTGAAGCCATCCCAGGCAGAAAAGTCCATGAGACTATCTATAAAATAACAAAATAACAAGCCTAACAGTAGTGTTGGAGGTATACTTTAAGTGGTATAGTGGCAGCCAAGTAAGCACAAGGTCTTGAATTCAAACCCTGGTACTGGAAAACATATATACATATGTGTATATGTATGTATATATGTGTGTACATGTATTTATGTATGCATATGTATGTATATACATATATACATACATAATATATACACATTGTTGAGACCTATGATTAGTTATACAAAAAATGTGTTTAAAAAGTTGTTTTTCAGTACAGATGTGCTGGTCCGTGGCTTAAAATTCATGGCCTGGGTACCAACTCTGAGCATTTTTGCTCAAGGATATCACTCTACCATTTGAACCATACCTCCACCTTGGCTTCTGTGGCATTAATTGGAGATACGTCTCAGAGTTTCTTGCTGGGCTGATTTTGAACCTTGATCCTCAGATTTCAGCCTGAATAGCTAGGACTACAGGCATGAGCCACCAGAATCTGAGTACTTTTAAAAACACCAAATTATATGCTTCAAATAGGTAAATGATGATATACGAATTAGTTTTATATCATAATTATGTTTAAAATGTGTAGCTAGTAAAATAAGTAAAAAAGAAATCCACTTCAAAAATGTAAAAAGCACAAATAGAGTACTCAAATCACTTCTGGAATAGCTCAACATAACTTCCTTCACAAAGTTATATTTTAACTTCAGGGCTAAAAAAGAATGAGGCATCAGTAATCAAAGTATGTAGAAAAAGACGTTATGGTTTCAAGAGAGGAAGAGTTGAAAACAGAGTATTTACCTTCCTTCTCCTTCCCTACAATTAGGACACGAACAAGCAACTCTTCGAAGCCTCTTGCCAGGTTGCACCTCTTGATCGGAAGTCTGCTGGCCTTGCTGCAAATGCACTTGCGTGAGTTGGTCAGGACTAACAGCACCTATCGTTGCATTAGCAATTCCTCCAACTGCCACCGTTACAGGAGCTATAGTAGCTTGCTGGACTTTCACTCCATCTTGTCCTTGCTGCTGACCTAACGAGGAAGGAAAAAACAGAACAGTGTAATGTTTTCTATTCTTATGAATAGACAAAACAAAATTCCATGTGGACAATTTAAAGGTAACAAACTTGTTCTAATGATAGGTGGAATATACAAAAGTAAACTTCCTAAAATGCACTATTCCTACTTTAGTAGCTTAGGTTGCCTCTTTCTCTACTTGATAAGACTATATAAAAGAAAAACATCAGTTTACTTGTGACTTGATTTTTCTCCATCTGGAAAATAAAATTCATGATACTTGCCACATACTTACCTCACTAAAGTGCTGTAAGTATGCATAAGAAATGAGACAGTGGGATTGAGGATGGAAATGTTACATAATATAAAGCATCATTACCATGTCTGCAGTAAATAATATATCTCATTTACAGCAATTAAAATGAAGGAGTCTAAAGGAAGCTAAACAAAAGATGACGTTGTATGGATATTTTTCATTTCTAAATATCTTTATTTATTTATTTTGGTCATGGATCTTGAACTCTGGACCTGGGCTCTGTCCCTGAGCTCTTCAGCTCAAGGCACTCTACCAACTGAGCCACAGCGCCACTTCATTTTCTGGTGGCTAACTGGAGATAAGACTCTCATGGATGTTCCTGCCCAGCCTGGCTTTAAAATGCGATCCTCAGATCTCAGCATCCTGAGTAGCTAGGATTACTAGCCACTGTCACCCAGCTAAATATCTTTATTTAAGCAAACATCTCTGAGTCATTCTTTTAGTATGCACATAGTTAAGTGTCTTATATTTTATTTTTTTGAAAGAGGGTCTCACTAGGCTGGCCGTTCAACTCTCAATCCAGTTACCTCAATATTCCTAGTTAAGAGTTTACAGATATGTATCGTCATACATGGTCTAAGTGGATTTTTATATGCAAAATTATCAATGACATTATAGGTAGCATTAGAAAAATAAAAGACATCTGGAATATTATATATAGCCTGTGTTTTATAGCATTCATCTCTCAGGTTAGTACATACTAGCCTGGCTTCTTTATTGAGGAATATGAGAAACTAATGTATAACTAAAAAAAATCCTGCATGGCATAATCGTATCTTAAAGTACAACTAGCTGTGCCTTACACTCACTCTTTTTCCCATACTTATCCCCCATAGGGTGTGTGAATATGAAGTAGGTGAATGGAATGAACAGAAAACATCAATTCATGAAGAAGTGTTCCTATCTCAGAGATTTGATATAAGAAATAAATAAATTAATATTTATTGATTCCATGACAAAGAACATACATGCTACATATTATTATCATTAGTACTACAAGGATAAAATATGCTACCAGAAATGCACGGGTGCAGGGTATAAAATAAAAGGGCTTGTTTTAAAACTGCATTTGGAACACTTAAAACATATGGAGCAAATAAGTAAAGACAGCAAAAATTACTAAGTAAGGAAATAGAACATACATTATTTTCTAAATAAAATTAAACCTCTTGTTTTCCTAGTCAAAGTAATCTCAACCTTCTCTATAAATCCACAGGACTCTGAACTTTTTGGTGCCACCTGTAGTTAAAATGAAATTACAGCCATCTACAGGAATTATTTTCATGATCTCCCCACTCCCAACATACAGATAGCAAAAATCTGTAGATGTTTAAGTCTCTTACATAAAATGGCATAATTATTTGCATATAAAATATACACAACATCCTCCCACTACTTTAAACAGCCTACATATGTACTACATGATAAATTCTGTTAGTTGTTATACTGTATTGCTAAAGGAATAATGACACAGTTTTCATCTGTAGTTGGTTAAATATGAGGATATACAACCTGCAAAATGTAAAAATATGTATCTTGTCATTGCTTTAGTAAAAACAGATATATTTCAGTTCTTTTATGAAAGTTTATATTTTTGTTCATCTTTGAGTTGGCATGATGTGATATCCAGGCAATGTAAATGATATCAGAAGTTGTGAATTCATAACTGTACACTTGGAAATCCTGTTTTCTCATCTCTAAAAGGAGTCACATTGAATTTGGTAAAATTTCTGTCCTCTACCTAATTTAAAGAGTTGTTTCTGAAGATCAAGTTGCTTCAATGCACCTTTGAGCACATATAAGTTTCAAATGTTACTTAAAAGATCAGTAAGTATGACCTTGGGTAAAGCAAATTATTCAAACCAGCTGGGTACCCAAAGCTCAGTGTTATACATACTCTCTCTATACTCAGTTCTGAATGAGCATTATAAAGTCTTTACAGTGTGATCCTTAGGGAGACCAAGTATTTTTCTAAGTTGGTAAGTATTCCTTACATCCTCACGTCATAAGGTATTTTCAATCATTTTTTTTCCAGCAATTGTTCACTCAATAGTTCATCTTCCCTTCCAAATTGCATTATTAACTTAACATGACCTATGCTGTGTTAAAGGGCTGCTTAAGGTTCTCTGATCCAACAGATTCCTCCCCACCCTTTGATCATTTCCTTAACTAACTCCAACCCTCTACATTATGAACACTTATTTTTTCAAGGTTAAATAATTTGACAAATTCTTCAATAAATAGAAGGAAAATTATATTTGAGTTTACATATTTAATCCTCACAGTGGTAACATCTTCACCTAGATGTCCCATGAACAGCTCAAATTCAATATACTAACATCCATTGATTTACATTGCTACTAATAAGCTATACTAAGACCTGAAAGTACTATTTAGATTCAGTTTTACCAAGCTCTCAGCCTGTACCATGTATTAGCCTTTTCCTTGATCATTGTTCCTGATATTCACCTGGCCCTAAAAAACTCAAGCCTGAATCTTCTTTATCTATCTCTGTATCACTACTTAAGTTTTGTCTCATTTGCCTTAAATTACCATGTTCTTTTTTTTTTCCTTATCCACTTCTGAGTGTGAAGTGCCATGAAAGCAGGATTTGCCATTCAATAAAGAAGTTTATGAATACAATGCATCTTGATCAAGGTCACACCTCTCATCCTCCCTCATCCCTCTCAATCTATCCCTTCCCTCAATTTTCTTAGTTTTGAAAAACATGCATCAAATTTTATAACTGCATTCTCTCTATCCTCCCTTCACCCTCTTGATCTCCCTCTCCATTCTTGAGCACTCATTTCCCTAGGGTTTATTTTGTTGGACTGTAAGATAGTCTTTCTAAGAAATTATACTGTTTTGAGCTCTCCCCTGAAGGTCATATGCTATGTACACTTGGATAGCACCCCAAAGTGTTTATAAATTAAGTCTGGGCAGGAAGCTTGGCTACATCCTCACTGATATACCAAACACATAATAAATAAATGAAAGCTCCCAAAAAAGGTCAAATATGATGGCTTAAGCCTATAATCCTACCTACTTGAAAGGGAGAGATGGGGGAAGAGGAGAAATTGAGAAGTGAGACCCAGGACAAAAAGAGTTAAACATAAATCCTGCTCAACCAAGAATTGAGACCCAGAGCACAAAGAAATTTACACAAGTCTAGCTCATCCAATGGGTGGGCCTGATGGATGGTACACATTATTACCTAGTTGCAGGGAAGTACAATGGCTGAATGCAGTGGTATACATCTGTCATCCCTAGAGATGTAGAAAGAGAGGAGCACAAGTAAGAAGATTATAGCTTAGGCTGGCCCAAGCATAAAGTGAGAACCTACCTCAAAAATAACTAAGGCCAACAGGGGCTAGAGGCATGTGTCAAGTGGCTGCCTGTCTGCCTGCCTAGGAAGTGCCAGGCTCTGAGTTCAATCCCTACTATCCCAAATAAATAAGTGAACAGATAAATAAAAACAAATAAATTATCTTCCAATCATTTTTATAAATGCTCATTTCCATAAATGCTATCCTTAAGATATTATTATTAACTCTACACAAAATCTTAATGTATTTTTTAAGCTATTATTCATTAAATCCAAGGACTTTGGAGTTAAAAGGTGCTTCTGCAGAGTAGTGCTTACATTTATGTTGTCTTTCTATTACCAAGAACACTACCCTAATCCTGGCCCTTGGTATTTCATGCCTTTCCCGGCTCAAACGTACCCTTCCAGAAAAGAACAAAAACATGCTGCTGCCAGAAAAATTAAGAAGTGCTGTTCTGATCACAGAGCTTCCATGCTCAAAAATTGTCAATGATTCCCCACTGAGTAAAGTCTGGAAGTCAAAGCACTCCACTACAAGGCCCAGTTCCTGGCTCACAGACTTCTCCTTAATGCCACATTCAATGTACATTTTCTCATGAGTATTACAACAATGCTTTGCTGTATCTGACATCCATCCCTCTTGAAACTCAACTCTGTTTGCTAACTTTCTACCTGCCCAGGAACCTGCTCACTGGTAGCTCATTCTCCCATCCCCTGGACCTCCCACTTTTAGTTTTTTTCTTTCTTTCTTTCTTTTTTTTCCAGGGCTGAGGACCGAACCCAGGGCCTTGAGCGCACCGGGCGGGCGCCTTTCCTCTGGGCTAAACCCCCAGCCCCTTGGACCTCCCACTTTTAAATACAACTCACATCTAAATTTTTGTAACATTCTTAAAGATTTATCTGGATTGACTTACTGTATTTCTAACCTCTCATTTTGTAGTCAAACTACTAAAATTAGGTGTCTATAACATCAGTCTGCTAAAAATCATGACAGGGTAATAATTTCCTTGTTGGTAAATCCAAAGATACTTTTTCATTGGATTTTCCTCCAACTCCCTCGAGCACTCCCTTGAGTAACTGCTAATCCCATTCTTCCTGAAATTCTCTTCTCACTGTGCCTCACTGATATTGCTCATATCAGTGTTTCTCCTCTTCCTTTGACCACTTCTTCTAAGAAGCCCTGGCCAATCTTTACTGCTCTGAAATTCCTACATTACTCTCCAGGGTGCTGACTTCTCATTTAAACCATCTTTGTGAGAGATCTCATCTACTATCATAACATGTATTGTCATGTACAGACAATGTCTCCCAAGTCTGTACCATCTGTTCAAATGTCTTTCAGGAGTGTCACATTCTTCTTGTCATGTGCCAGGG